CGCCATTCTTCCCAGCGGCTGTCTGTCCTCGGAGGCGAACGCGCATGCCCTTCGGTTCGTCGCCGACGTTGTGAAGCTGTTGAAGAGGGCGGGGGAGGAGGAGGGGCTCTCGTGGGACCTTTTCGTGGGCACCTCGGGGGGCGAGAGGTTCAGGTTCAGTGTCAAAGCGTTTTTCATGGATCACGAGCTTCGGGAACGTTTTCTTCGGCTTGACCCTGGGGTCATACGGGCTGCTGCCCGTGCGGTGACTATTGCGCCACCTCCTGGACTGCGCGGCCCCCCGGGGCCCGCGTCATCTGGTTGGGCCGCGGCTTCTGTGGTTCCAGATCCTTCGACTTCGATTTGGGTGTGCGAGCTGACCGGCTCGACGGGGGCACCTTGCCAGCGCGCGTTTGCCTCGCGACGTGCACTTCTTGCACGCCAGCGTTTCGCGAAGTTGGGTGGTCGCAATTGTCGTTCCATCGTGCGCAGTATGACCGCCACGAATGAGTGCGCGTTCTGTCGGCAGAGTTTCCGCGCGAGGCGCACTGCGCAGGAGCGCGCCGTCAAGGCCGTCTTGCACAATCGTTGCCCGCCACGTGCCACACCGTTTGCGCACGAGGTCGTCGAGCCTGAGGAACCTGTGTGCCCATTCTTGTCCATTGCACGTGCTGCTCTGCGAGGCGGTCACGACGCCGCCTATGTCTGCTCAAACACAGAGACCTTTGCCAGCCGAGATCTGCTGCACGAACACCTTCGGACCAGTTGCCCCTGCGGCCGACTCCGTCGCCCACATTACTTCCCAGATGTTCAGACTGAAGCAGGAGGACCTCGCGGCAGCGGAGAGGAGCCGCTCCGCAGGGCGAGGAGGTGGAGGGAAATCTCCACGAGGCCGCTCTGGGTCTCAGGCTGCCCCCCGCAGTCGCGGCGCACGGCAAGGAGGAGGTCGTCGGGCGCAGCGGGGCAGCAGGCCCCCATCGGCAGGGCGATGCAAGCGGGGCTGCAGCTGGCCACCGCGAGCAGCAGGGAGCCGCCGATGCCAAGATGGCCGTCGGCAAAGCGCACGGCCTTCCAGAAGACACGCTGGAGAAGTTGCCAGCGATGTCGCAGGGAGTGATCGCGAAGATCATGCCAGTCTTGGCCAAGGCAGTGCTAGGCAACACGTTCATGATCAGGCAGATGCTCGCGGCGGCCTTCCAGACGGTGATTCTCGACGAGGAGTCGGATCTTGCGAAGAAGTCGTTCAAGGCGGGTCGAGCCTATGCGACTCGGGCGGCGGCGATGCGCGAGGCGTGGGGGCTCGACAATGCCAAGCCGCTGCAAGAAGCAGAGATGGGGCCCGCGCACATCCAAGTGTTCCTCGTGGCCTGCGACGTGCTCACGAAGGCGGGCGAGCGAGTGGGAGCTCGCAACAAGGCGCCGTGGGAAGCCCAGAAGACGAAGATCGAGCAGGCCACCAGCATGGCGGACATGAGCCTCCTCGTGCGAGGGTTTCGAGCCAGCTCGTGCCACAAGGAAGGGAACGCCAAGCTGGTGTTCGCGCTGGCCGATGTGGAGCTCACCAAGGTCTTCACCGACTGCGTGGTCCAACTCGGGGGCGAGGTCAAGGCAGGAGTGGCGCCGAGGTCGAACGTGGATCGGATCCTGCAGATGGCGATCGACGAGTGGGAGGACAGCCAATACTGAAGGGCGTCAGGGCGCAAGTCCGAGGCCTGGCCCCCTCGGCTCCCCCATGTGGGGAATGCCCCAGAGCTGGCCGTCTGGGTCCGTCGTCGCCACAGCCTTGCGAGGGCGTTAGAAAGCAAGTCCGCGACCTGGCCCCCTCGGCCCCCCCGAGCGGGGAATGCCCCAGAGCTGGCCGTCTGGGTTCGTCGCCACAGTTTGACACGCTGAGCCGCATAGGCTCGCCCCTTCCTCCTCGGCAATGGCAGCTGAACATAGGCGGTAATTCTCACTGCAGCGCTGGGGTCGATTTTGGAGCGAGTGGCTCGGCAAGGGCGGCAGGTTCCTGTTCCCGCGTGGCGTCGACCACTGGCGGTGGTAAGTTGTTTCAAGCATCGGGGATGGTTTCGCGATCGAGTGTGGATGGGTCTCTTCAGACATCGGCGTCGTTTTCACGGTTGAATGTGGTTGATGCCCTTGGAGCGGGTATGCTCCACACGTGGACGGCAACACCAGCTCCAGGGGCACGTTCTGAGGGGAAGGTGACGCTCCAGGCGCCGTCTCCCGCTGCCGCTGTCCTTGATCCTCTTGTTCCTCCTCGTCGTGCGCAGCCGAGACGGTGCAGTTTCAAGGGGCTGGTAAAAATGGCCACGGGAGGTCCCTCCAGGTAGTCGCTTTTCGGGCCCTCGTTGTGGGCCCGTCGGCCCTCTGGGACCCCTGGCCTTAATTCTCTTCGCTGACAGCCTTGGTAGAGCGATTCATCAGTCGGGGCTCCAGCTGCGGGGGGCCGCCACACGTGGTATATACTGCGCACGGTAGGTCACGCAATTCGAAATTCGTGTTCGATTGCTGTTTAGTCGGGGATCCTTCGACTCGGCCCGTTACCGCTTCGCCGCCGCCGCCGCCGCCGCCGCCGCCTCCTCCTCCTCCTCCTGCTCATCCTCCTCCTCCTCCTCCCCCCTCTCCTGCTCCTTCTCTTCCTCCCCCCTCTCCTGCTGCTCCTCCTCCTCCTCCTCCTCCTCCTCCTCCTTCTTCTCCTCCGACTCCTCCTTCGCCCCCTTCATCTCCTCCCTAGGGGTGATGCTGCCTCTTCGGGGCGGGCCTAGCCTGGCCTGCAGAAGGCGGCATGCTCTTGCATTCCGACCTTCGGGCCCGAGGTGGATTTGCCACGCATCTTGCGCGTGTGTGCCACGCCACAGATCCAGCGCGGGTTCGGCACGTCTAGCTGGAGCGATGGGACAGATGAGTTCTGTAGCACATCATGGGAGCCAGGTGTACCCTCTGAGTTCCGTCGTTACAGTCGGCTAGCGTCGATTAGCGTCTGGGAGTGGATGAGATAGCGCCGATGTTTGCGTCGATGCGCGTCGACGTTTAGCGGTGACCTAGCGTCGATTAGCGTCGATCCGCAAGAGCCGACAAGATGGTATGGGAGGCTCCCATGAGATGCTACGGAAGACGAGCCCCGCCCACCCCGAGATGCAATCGAAGGGACTACCCGTGGAGTTACCATGTTGTCCTCCCTGCCGCCTGTGCCCGCTCCTTGCTCTTGTTGTTGCCGTCCACGCGTGGCGCTCGGTGTGTTTTGTTTTTTGTTGCCTGGCTGACCGGACCTTCTGGTATTCACCACGACGCCTGGGGGGGGGGGAGATGTCGTTCCTTTTTTTGAGGGAGGCAGAACACAAACAGCAACAACAACAGCAACGACAACAACAACAACAACAACAACAACAACAACAACAACAACAATTACTAGCACGTGGGGACACTCCGTTCTCACCAGTGCCAGGGTTTTCATAGGAGGCGGGCAATACCCCCACTTTGTGGGGGGGCCGGTTCAAGCTCTACCAAATTTCCAAACGACTCTTCGCCACCACCCACACCCAGCTTCCCGCCCTATGACGTTCGGACACTTCACTTCGTGGCATGCGGACGACCGTGGCTACTATTCAGGGCCCCGCGGCCGACGACGACGGCGTGCGCGCGCGAAGAAAAAACGAATGTGTCCCGCATGGTATTATTTGACAGGGATGATGGCCCTGGCAGGTGCGCAACCGTTGTTGCAGAAGTTCGAAAAAGTTGCTCGCAAAAGCCCGTTTGACAGAAATGATTAAAAAGTTCTGGGTTTCCCACGAATCCGCAAGAGCGCGCGGGATGAAATTTTGACAATTGTTTTTTGAACAACCATTGGTTTTTTTATGTTTTTATGCTAAAATCGCTACGAAAACTTAGGTTTTGGAAGGATTTCGTCTTGCGCGCGCGAATGTCCACTTTATCTTATTTGTTGCAAGGGATTCTTGAAGTTTGGATATGTTAGAACAATAAATGTCCATTTTAGCTTGTTTTTTGCAAGGGAAAACCGATCGTAACAACACAACCGGATCCGGACCAACCCGTTTTGCCTGAGACTTCCTCACGAAAATGATGAAAACGTGGTTGCGGCCTAGGCGCGGCGGGGGGGTCGCGCACCAGGGGCCCCAACAATAATTATTCTTTAGAAGTAATGATCTTCAACAACAACAACAACAACAACAACAACAACATCAAGGGCATCGACAACGACAACGACGACGACAACATCAACAGCATCAACGACGTCGACACCAACAACGTCAGCATCAACAACAACACAAACGCCAACAACACCTGCAACAACAACAACCAACAACACCAAGCAACACACACCACGCAACAAACAAACAACAACCAACCACTGACCAGAGCACAACCACCCCACCCTCCACCTTAAAAAAGAGACACCAACACACAAACACACAGACATAAAGACAATATACACAACACCAAAAGCCATCCACACGCGACAACTAAGTATACACAAACAAACATTGCGCAACAAGTCAAACAGCAACAGCCCAGCAATTCAACAACGTCGACAACAACATCAAACCCCCAGGTTTATGAACGAATGCACAACCCGCAGCGCACACACACACATATACACACACTACACATCGATAACAACAACCACAACAGCAGCACCATCAACACCACCAAAAAACACCACCACCACCACCGACAACAACAATCACAGCAGCAGCAACAAGAACAACCACAGCAGCAACAGCAACAACAACAACAACAGCAGCAGCATCAGCAACAACTACAGTCGACCCACAGGAATCCCTCCCAAGGGTACCCTCGCATCCTTGCTTCCCGGGTCCATCCTCGGACACGCTCGTTGGCCGCGCCCCCGCTCGAAAAGCCTCGAGCGGGGCGCCCAAGGCCCTTGCATCCCTGCCGCGCATCCTTGCTGTGCGGGTTGATTGTGCTGTGCGCATCCTTGCTGTGCGGGTACCTAGCCACCTCGCGCGCTCGCCCGCTCCTGGCGGGCGGGCGCCCGCGGATTCGGCCCCCACCGGCGCCATCGGCGCCCTCGCCGCGTGCGCGCGCTGGCGCGCGCGCCATAGGCGGGCGCCGACGCCGCTCGCCGGCGCAGGGCCGAGGAGGGCAGGGGAGGCCTCTCCGAGCCTCGAGCCTCGAGGAGGGGGGAGGAGCAGGGACGAGGAGGAGGAGGAGGAGGAGGAGGAGGAGGGACGAGGAGGAGGGACGAGGAGGAGGGACGAGGAGGAGGAGGAGGAGGAGGAGGAGGAGGAGCAGGAGCGGGAGCGGGGGCAGGGAGGAGGAGGAGGAGGAGCAGGAGCAGGGGCAGGGGCAGGGGGAGGAGGAGGAGGCCCCGAGGCCGAGCGAGCGAGCGAGAGGCGACGCGCGGTTCAAGCAGAGCCGGGCCTTCTCGAGTCGACTTTCGCGCAGGGGCAGGCCCATATGCCGATCGGCGGCAGATCTTGGGAGCCTTGCTTGGCGGCGCGCACAGGGGGGCAGGGGTCAGGGGGAAGGCTTCTTAGAAGCACCCCTGCTTCTAAGAAGCAATCCCCCCCCACCCCCCTGTGCGCGCCGCCTTCAGGGTGCACTAGCGTGCGCTAGCGTCTGGTATTGCGTGCGTGAGAAAGCCCCGCTTGAGCGTCGATTAGCGCCCACTTAGTGTCAATTGGTGTTTTCCAGCGTCGGCTCGCACGAACCAGCAAGATGGCATAGGAGGCTCACATGAGCTGCCACCGAATATCCCGTACTCAAACAGCGCCATCTCGGGTCCGCCCCGTCTCCCATCCCCGCCCCCACCCACGATCCTTGCCAGAAGTGGCCCCGTTCTGCAGCGTCTCCGCGCTGTCGTTGGGCTCCACATCGCAAGAAAGATTGCTTTCACCTTTTAGCTGCGCTCGGCGAGCGCCATCTTCTTTTAAGCATGCCTCCCCCTGGCGGGGTGGCTGCATCCACGTCTTTTCGTGGGAGTCTCGCCGCGGGCCTGTGCGCTGTCACGCCTATCGGCAGACGGCAGTCAAAGGTTTAGCGGGTACGGGCACGCCGCTGCTGCCGCAGCCTAGCGTAGCAGTCAACATCACACAAAGGGGGCCGATTCTGAATCAATACGGCGACGGCCAGAGAAATACACATACACATAATGCAACATAACGGGGGACTGGGAACAGGTGTTCCAGGGTCTGAGCCATGATTGTCAAGTGGGGTGCCGATGTATGGTCGAGCCTCCCGCAGCTTCTGGAGAGTTGGTTTCGGCCGCCGCAAAGCGCCTCAAGGCCCGATTATCGTTTCAGAATGTTCCGACACCGCCGCCGAGACGCCAAATATGCTTTCCTGATGTGTTTCTCCGGTCCGATGGTTTCAGAAATCCCCAAGAGGCACACATGGCATCTTGCATTGTTTGTGTAGTTTGAACTAGTTGCTTTCTCGGTCGCCGCAGCGCCCAAGAGAACCCCGGGAGGTCCCTAAGATCTTCATATGACGTTCCAGACATGCCGTAAGAGCGCCCCACACACACACACACACACACACACACACACACACACACAGTATAGGGCCACGAAACGCTGTGCTGGGTCGGTGAAGGTGCCAAATTTGGTGTTGGGGACGCATGCGGGCGGTCCCACTGGAGGCTTCGGTGGAGCTCCCTGCGGGGGACGCACGCGGGCGGTCCCATTTGGGGCTTCGGTGGAGCTCCCCATGGGGCCGCGAAGCGTTGTAAATGGTGGGTGGAAATGCCAAATTGGGCGTGGGGGGACGCATGCGGTCGGTCCCACTGGGGGCTTCGGTGGAGCTCCGTATGGGGCCACGGAACGATGTACTGGGTGGGTGAAAATACTAAATCTGGTGTGGGGGACGCATGCGGGCAGTCCCACTGGAGGTTTCGGTGGAGCTCCCTGGGGGGGACGCACGCGGGGGGTCCCACTGGGGGTTTCGGTGGAGCTCCCAATGGGGCCACGAAGCGCTGTAGTAGGCGGGTGAAAATGCCAAATTGGGCATGGGAGACGCATGCGTGCGGTCCCATTGGGGGCTTCGGTGGGGCTCCCTATGGGGCCACGAAGCTGTACTGGGTGGGTGAAGATGCCAAATCGGGTGCGGGGGACTCATGCAGACGATCCCTTTGGGGGCTTCGGTGGGGCTCCCTATGGTGCCACAAAGCGCTCTACTGGGTGGGTGACAATGCCAAGTTGGGTGTGGAGGTCGCATGCGGGCGGTCCCACTGGGGGCTTCGGTGGGGCTCTCCCTACTGGGCCACGAAACGCTGTACTGGGTGCGTGAAAATGCAGAATTGGATGTGGAGGAGGCATGTGGGTGGTACCATTGGGGTCTCCGATGGGGCTCCCTATGGGGTCACGAAGCGGTGTACTAGGTGAGTGAAAATGCCAAATTGGGCGTGCGGGGACGCATGCGGTCGGTCCCACTGGGGGGCTTCGGTGGAGCTCCGTACGGGGCCACGGAACGTTGTACTGGGTGGGTGAAAGTGTCAAATTGGGTGTGGGGGACGCATGCGGGCAGTCCCACTCAGGGGTTTCGTTGGAGCTCCCTATGGGGTCACGGAGCGTTGTACTGGGTGGGTGACAATGCCAAATTGGGCGTGGGGTTCGCATGCGGGCGGTCCCACTGGGGGCTTCGGTGGGGCTCCCCTTTGGGGCCACGGAACGATGTATTGGGTGCGTGAAAACGCCCGACTGTGTGTGGGGGACGCACGCGGGCGGTCCCACTGGGGGTTTCGGTGGAGCTCCCGATGGGGCCACGAAGCGGTGTATTGGGTGAGTGAAAATGCCAAATTGGGCGTGGGGGACGCATGCAGGCGGTCCCGTTAGGGGATTCGGTGGAGCTCAGTATAGGGCCACGGAACGTTGTACTGGGTGGGTGAAAGTGTCAAATTGGGTGTGGGGGACGCATGCGGGCGGTCCCACTGGGAGTTTCGGTGGAATTGCCTATGGGGCCGCGAAGCGCGTGATGGGTGTGCCGAAATGGGAGTGGGGGACGTATGCGGGCAGTGGAGAGGAGGAGGGGGAGGAGGAGGAGAAGAGGAAAGGAACGCGGGGACCGTCTCTTCACAACGAGGACCCAACACCACAGGATGGTTGGGAAAAAAAGCGCCCCAAGCAGGCCATTTGATTGCCCAGAGGAGGGCCTGTTGAGGGGCTGAGGGCGGCCCGAGAAGACCCCAAGCGGCCAAAGATGGGCCCGGCAGGGCCCCAAGTGGCCCCAAGCAGCCCAAAGAGAGACCCCCCAAAGAGGGCCATGCAAATCGTGCCCAGTCCAAAGGTTTGCACTTGAGCCTATTTGAAGCCCGCCGCCCGTTATCCTGCCGACCCCTCCCTCATGCCCCCTTCTTTTGAGCTCGGTAGCCTTCTTTGGAGAAGGAGGCGCTCTTTGCGCCTCCTCCTCTTCCTCCTCTTCCTCCTCCTCCTCTTTCTCTTCCTCCTCCCTCCTCCCTCCTCCTCCTCCTCCTCCTCCTCCTCCTCCTCCTCCTCCTCCTCCTCCTCCTCCTTTTGGTCGTCCCAGTGTGACCCGCTTGCGCGCCGTTCCTGCTTGTGGTGCCCATGGCCCCACAGCTCACAAGCGCAGCTTTTCACTGAGAGTCGACGGCAGTTGCCCGGCGTATAGCTTAGGCCGGGGCTCTCTGCTGCCGTTCATGCCCACGCACCGCTTAGCTTATCTTCGCCGTTGCTCCCCCGTCTTCGCAATGACCTGAATTTGTGAGGGCGTTGCTTTGCAGGGTCTGTTACATCACATAGGGTGCCCTTGATGAGAAACGGACGACGTCCGACAACGGGCGAAGTATGGAGTCTTGTGACGCCCTCTTGCCCATTATAGATGCGTGCGGTTGTGTTTTGGTGCGCGAGCGCCCGTCACACCTCTCAGCCAATCGACACATTGCGGCTCGTTGCGCGCGCACCCGCTCAGACGAGCACATATCTTCTCTATCGGGGGAGCCACTGTGCGGGGATGATGGTGATGATGGTGATGTCATCTCCATCGTCTTCATCATCATCACTTTCATGTCCCCTTCTCCACGATCTGATCGCAGTTTTACTGCCTGCACCATCCTGTTTGGGTGCGCCTCTCTGGGTGGCCCGACGCAGCCCGCCCTCGAACCTCGAATATTCGTGTTGACGGCGACACTGCGCCCGGCGCACCATATATATATATATATATATATATATGTATATATGTATATGAATATATATATATATATATATATATATATATATAGGGGGCTGCTCTGGACGATGGGCGGGCGCTGTCAGCTGTTTGGGGGGAGGAAGAGGAGGAGGAGGAGGAGAAGGAGGAGGAGGAGGAGGAGGAGGAGGAGGAGGAGGACGAGGACGAGGACGAGGACGAGGACGAGGACGAGGACGAGGAGGAGGAGGAGGAGGAGGCGGAGGAGGAGGAGGAGGAGGGGATGTTTTTCAACGCCAGGGGGCGCGGCAGCCGCCTCGCGCTGCGCCCTGCGCGCTCGTCTGCCGCTGCTCTCAGCCGTACCTGCTCTTTGTGCTCCCTCGGCCGAGGGGGAGGCTGCTCGGCGGCTGGTCGGCGTGCTCCTCACGGCCCGCCTCCTGGGTGCCGCGTCCTCGCCCGTCGGCCTCCCTCCCTGCGGGCAGCGCGGGGTTGCCCCGGCGACCTCCTGCCCCCTCGCCCCTGCGCGCGCTCCTCCTCGCCCGGCTGGTGCTGCCGCGCTGCCGCTGTGGCCGCCAGGAGCCGGCCGCGCGGCTCCTCGCGCGGTCCGAAGGCGCCCTCCTGCCGTGCCCCCCTGCCCTGGGCGGCCTTGCTGCCTGGGCCCCGTGGTGGGCGGCTGGCCACCCGCGGCGGCCTCGCGCCCGGCACGGGCCCCGCCTGCCGCTGCCGCGAAGAGGATCGGGGGCGGAAAAGAGGGGGGTGATGACTAGGGGGGGGGATATCATGGCGTGGGCCATGATATTTCCCCTGATCTCATGGCGCCTCTTCTTGTTTCATTACGTGCCTCGGCCCCCCCCAGGGGCCGCGCACATGCCGCCGGCCATGATTTGCGCCCCCCCCTCTTGGACGCCCCCCTCTTGGCCGCTCCCGAGAGGAGGGCCGCGGGGTTCACCGAGCGCGTTCCACTACTCGCAAAGTGCCTACTCGCAAACGTCCGAAAAACATGTGTCCGCTCTGATGTAATTTAACGTAGATCCCCCGCGGGGAATCCAGGCCCCCGCAGGGAATCCAGGCCATTTGCGAGCAGTTACTGTGCGAGTAGTGGAGCGCGCTCGTCGAAGGGTGCAGGGTGGCTGCCTCGGCCGGGCTCGGCTCCCGTCCCGGGTCTCCCGTTGCCGCGCCCTCGCCGCTGGAGCTGCTCCCAGCGGCTGTCGAGGGCCCAGGCTGCTCCTCAGTCATGCTGCTTGACGCCCGGCGGCGGCGCACCGGCGTGGCCTCCCAGGGCATGGAGGGAGGCGTCGACGACCGTTGCCTGGGCGTTGGTGCGCTGTGAGCTCCTCTGGGCTCCGTCACCAGTGGGCCGCTCCTCTCCTGGCTTCTACCCCTCGGCTCCACGCTGCGGCTGCCATGGGCTTGGCCAGCGCGAAGGTGTCTCTACCGTTCCAGTTGACCAGGAGCTGGGCAAGGTTGCCCTGGTGGCGCGGGCGGTCCAACAGCTCGATTAGGTAGGCTTCGCACCAGGGTCCCCACGACTTCGCATTTGCTCCTGGGTCGTACGGGCTCGGGTCCCAAACGGTGGCCCACTGCGTCAGCTGCACAAACTAATCGTCGTCTCCTTCCAGCGTGAGCGCCAGCAGGTGGCTTGCTCCTTCTGCCTCTGCCACGGCGCCCGTGGGGACGGTATGCGGTGCACGCCCTGCTATGAATGCCGTAGATGTATCACGCTATTGTTGTTGCATCTCCTGCCACCTCGCCACGGCCTGGGCGCTGACACCTGGGCGGGGGTGGTTCTTGGCCTCTTCCCGTTGCGCCTGCACTGCTGCCTGGGGTCGGAGCCTCCGTGCTCGCCATCTGGAGATCATATCCCTCCTGACCTTCTCCACGTAGTGGCACTTCTGCTGGGACTCCTTGTGACTGACGTCGCCCTGCTCCTCATCCTCCGGCTTCGGTCCCCCCGCCGGGTACAAGCATGGCTTCCATGAATTCGTGTTCTGCCTCGCCAGCTCCATCGATGCATCCTTCTTCATGTTCTGGCTGGTGGTATGCCGAACTGGTTCGGGCCAGACGAAAGGGGGGGATTGGGAAAGGGGGGGTTACGAAATTTGCTGCATGCAGCTGGTTTCGGCCCCATAGAGGGGCCCATTCTTCGATACATAGCCGCCTCCGGCGCCGGGAGGCGCCAGGAAAATCAGCTACGTGAGCTGATTCTCCAACCCCCCCCCCCTTTGCTATCCCCCCCTTTCGCCCGACCCGACCTGGTACGGCGTCGGCGGGCCCACGCCAGCGAGGCCCTGCGGTCCGTCGCGCCGGAGGTCGCGTGGCCCTCTGGTGGTTCTGCAGGCTGCTCCTCCACCTGTGGCCTTGCTTTTTAAGTCGGGCCTGTCCCTCTACAGTGAGCGGCTTGAATAAGGAACACTTACACTTTTCAAAAGGGGCTCGGTCGTTCCTTAGGCTTGCATGCGTTATTTACAGTTCCTTATGCGTGATTTGTTATGTATCGCTCCTTATGCGTTATTCCTTGGGATGAAAAGGGGCTTCGTTCCTTATTTATCGTTCCTTAGGCCAGGCCGATGAATGTACAGGGTGAATATCCAAACATAGTCCAGGAAACAGTCTGGGGATCCTTTTTCCCGATTTGTTCACCATGTTGGAACATGTGTTGAGCATGTTTTTACTTCTCGTCGAGACTCCTTGCTGGCTTGAGCCGTGCTGGCAGAGGCTGTGGTGGCCACGCCCGCTGCCTCCGCGCAGCATCGCCCGCGCTCTCCGGGAGGGCCTGCCCGGGCTCGGGGGACGGGCCGCCTGCTCTGCCTGGTCTGGTCGCTCCGGGTCCCCGAGGCCGCCCTCCAGCGCCGAGTCGGCCCCGTCTCTCTACAATCGGGGGCGGAAAAGAGGGGGGTGATGAGTAAGGGGGGGTGGAGCTAATGGCGGAGGCCATGATTTTTCCCCAGATCTCAGGGCGCCTCTTCTTGTTTCATTACGTCCCTGGCCCCCCCGCTGGGCCGCGCACATGCCGCCAGTCATGATTTGCACACGCACACCCCCCTCTTGGACACCCCCCTCTTGGCCGCTCCCGATACAAGAGGAGTATCAAAACATAGTAAGAACATAGTCGGGGAACTGTTTTTGGTTTTTGTTGTCTTTTTTTTTCTCTAGTTTGCCCTTTCGGGGGGCATTGTTTTTTCTCTAGTTTGCCCTTTCGGGGGGCATTGTTTCAGCACTCTTCAAGCTTCGCCCACAGCCCCCCGGTAGGGGGTACGTTTTTTTCCTCTCTTTTGAAACCATGTTGCCCTTTCGGGGGGCATTGTTTGAGCACTCTTCAACCTTCACCCACCGCCCCCCCGGTATACCGGCAATGCCGGCAAGTGCGTTAGGAACTTAAGATATATATATATATATATATATATATATGTAACATGCAACACGATTGCAACTCACATGCAAGTAGCATGTATAGTCTTACAATGTATGTGCACTACTTCGTCTAAGCATCGTAAACAGTGCCAAACCCCCCCGTCGTTCAAGTAGGGGTGACACGCCCGACCGAACTCCAGCGGCCGCTCTCCCCCTCGCCTTCCCGCACGCCGGACGGCACGCGCCGCGCCTGGGCTCCTCCCGGGCCCCTCTGCTGCGGGCGCTCAGCCCCTCCTGCGGGGCTGCTCTGCACCGGCTTCCCCGGCCTCCTCTCCCTGGGGCTCCTGCCAGAGGGGGCAAGGGGCGCCCTCTGCCTCCGCCCTCCCCCTCGTGTCCCGTCGTTGGGCCTCCCGGGCCTCCCTCGTCGCCGCCGCCGGACTCGCCTCGAGAGCCTGGTCTGCGCGCACCCCAGGAGAGGTCCGGGGAGCAGCGGTATCGGCACCGCTGGGTGTCCCCATCATAAGGAGGGTGTCTTCGTGGCTGCTCTGAGGTGGTAGCTTCGCCGTCTGTCGCTGCCCAGCGTGCGCAGCGCGTCCTGGTGGCTGTTCAGCCGGCGCTGCCAATCTTCAGCGTGTCGTTGCTTGCGTCGGGCTCTGAGGACGTCCAGTCTCTGTCGCAGCATGGCCCGCCCGGTGCTGGCGCCCCTCCACGTCTGCAGGCAGATGCCTCTAGCTTGGGCCCTCCCGGTTGCCTCCTCGTCCCTGGCGTGTCGCGCGATCGCAACCCGCTCTGACGCAAGCATCGCTACTGCGACGTACGTGTCTCGCATTCCTCAATCCACCGCAGGAGGCTGTAGGACTCGTCCACCACCTCAGGCTGCTACGTGCCTGCTGCTTACCAGATCCTGTCGATCAGGTGCTGGAGGTAAGTGTGCGTCGTCTAGTTTGGGTTCCGATCGTCCCGCGTGATGGTCTCTGCGGCCAACCATGGGGAGTTGCCGACGATGCCCCCGGCTGCTAGCGCTTGCCTCTCCTTGGCCCATCTTGAGGATTCGCTTGGCTCCTGGCTGCCCCTGCTGCCGGCCCTCTCGGACACAAGCTGGCTGCGCTGCGCCCTGCGCCTTGGCGCTGGCCGATTATTCGCCCTCCCCGGGGGCTGATCTTGGCCGCTCTCTCTCTCTCTCTCTCTCTCTTTCTCTCTCTGCTCGAGGGGTGGGGCGTCTGGCCCTGCTCGGCGGGGGTGGGCCAGTCGCCGAGCTCCCTCTCGGGCGGTGCGGGAACCCCGTCTTCGAGATCCACGCTGGAGGAGGAGGAGGAGGAGAAGGATGAGAAGGAGGAGTGGGGAGGAGGAGGAGGAGAAGAGGAGGAGGACGAGGAGGAGAAGGAGGAAGAGGAGAGGGAGGTACCCCCTCCTCCTCCGCATCCTCGACGGCAGCGCAGCCCGTCGCGTGGCGCTGGGGCCCGACCCCCCCCGTGGTGCGCCGAGGTCGTGATCGACGGGTGATCGACGGGTGTTCGACGGGCGTTGTCCACCAGGTGTTGGGCCAGTTGCTGCCGGGGTGCTGCCTTGCCCGTCGCGGCTGCGGTGGTCAATATGTTCCGTGTCGCGTTGGCTGTCCAGGTCCACGATTTGACCGCGCTGTTTTTTTGTGAGCCTTGGGAATTGC